CCCTTCCCTTCCCTTCCCTTCCCTTCCCTTCCCTTCCCTTCCCTTCCTTTCCTTTCCCTTTCCCTTTCCCTTTCCTTCCCCTTCCCTTCCCCTTCCCCCTTCCCTTTCCTTTTCTTTGCCTTCCCCTTCCCTTCTCTTCCTTCCCTTCCCTTTTTCTTTTCCTTTTCCTTTTCCTTTACTTGTTTCTTTTACTTTCAGTTGTCTTTATTTTTAATGTTGTTGTTTTGGGGTTTGGTTTTGTTTGTTTGTTTTTGTTTTTTTTGACAAGCCTTCAGCCTTTTCTTGCTGGGTGCTCTTTCCACCTTCCAGGATTCAGGTTGAGCCCACAAACTGTGAATTCAGTTGCAAAGCGATACAGCACCAGTGGGAAGATCACTTTTGATGACTACATCGCCTGCTGTGTCAAACTGAGGGCGCTCACAGGTGTGTTCTAGGAAGCCATTCGTTCAGCATTACCAGGAGCCTCGAAGACTTTTTTTTAATGACATTTGTCATTTCTTCATGACTCCTAACATCTGTTCTGCCCTGTTTTGTTTTTATGGTGTTAGGGGGTGCTTTAGCAGACCCCTTACCATAGCTATTAAGCAAGTGGAACATAAAATGTTGTTCAAAGTTTCTCTTAGATGAATGAGTTATTGTAGCAGATTTTATTAAAATACTACAGATATAACTATTTTGTAAGTGCCTTTGATTGTGGTGCTAGAGTCACAGAGAGAGCACACGTGCTAGGTAAACACTGGGCCACTGTGCCATACCCACAACCACAATTTGTGCAATCTCAGTAGATCACAGGGTGCAGTTACGAGTAATTCTCTTCACCTGTGGGATGTTTGAAAAGAGTAAAGGTCAATCACGTTTGCCCCACAGGGCTGAAATTGGTGGGATATTTGTTTATCATATTAGGGACTGTCTGTTTCCTTGACCAAGCCTGTTAGTATAGTGAGGAGAATCCTGCGCTTTCCCCTCAGCTAAAGGCCTTGAAAGCTAAGTCATCCACATGGAAAATGACCATTGGCTAGCTTCTGCCTATGCTGTCACCATGACATATTAAGTCTTTTAATATTCCTATAGCTGGCTATTTTTCTTTGGCCTGTGTCGACTGGTTGTGGGATTTAAATGTTATTGAAGTTTGATCCCAGTGCGAAATTGTGAGCTGTTGTGACTGTAGAAAAGCTGTTTAGAGAGAACTACATTTCGCTGTGTTGTTTTGCAGATAGCTTCCGAAGACGGGATTCTGGTCAACAAGGAGTCGTGAACTTCTCTTATGATGATGTAAGTGTCGCTAAGTAAGAGCTAAGTAGACACATAAATGGGATTCCCTGCTGAAGTTAGCTATGAAGAATATGGACATGGTGGCCATGGGCTTGGGAGGCTGATGTAGGCAGACTGCCATGAGTTCGAGGCCAGCCTGAGCTGTGCTTGTGAGCCTGCCTCACGTGATAGGACATTGTAAATTTGTTATTCATTCTTGTGGGCAGGTACTTTTGACTGTGACTATTTCTAGACTCTTAAATATTATTTGGGATTTCACTTCATTATCTGTTGAAGTAATTCCTCTTTCCTGTAAAGTGAAAAACTCATCAGACTTTACAAAAGAAAGTTCCCCTGAAAGCAAAAGCCTTCCCACCCCTTACTTAGGCATAACCTAGAACACTGGGACCTTTTTGCTCTTGTTTACACACGATGCCGAAATCCAGAACTAAAATGGAAGCTGCCCACGGAGAGGCTGTGGCACCCTCAGCCCTTGGCAGGTCTGTAATGTGACACCGCTTTTCCTCTTTCAGTTCATTCAGTGTGTCATGACCGTCTAAGCCTCGAGGAAGCTGTCTGAATACATTCAACATTCCAACTGGAGCCCACACTCGCTTCCTTCCTGCCTTCAGTGCTGTGTGTAGACCCCCGCCAACACTCCATGACAACTACTGAACAGGATTATGACTTTATATAGAACCGAAGCTTCATTTTTAATTTTGATAATAAATTCTTTGGAAGTTTATGAGAACAAGTCTGTTACACCAGTCAGACCCTCCTGAGCCATTATTAATTATGCCTTATTTCCCTGCTAACCCTCTTTGATATAAAGTATGCAGAATGTTTAAGGAATACCACATATTTTCTCATGATGTCTGAAATCTTTCATCAGACTTAGCTGTTACCCTTTCTCTCCCTGAGGAATGTGGTTGAAAGTTTTGTGTGGGCTAGCCTTAGGTAAGCGATGTCGATCCACAAGGGAGCAAAGCAGAGCAGTGAACACAGCAGTCCACACATTACAGAGAAAGCATAAGCTTCAGGACTTAACTGGTTGAAGGCCTTATGAGTGGACAGGGCTATTGGGATGACTGTTGTCTGCCTCTTTAAAACCCTATAGATAATCGGAGTGGCAAATTCTGTCACCAAGTCCTTCTTTGTGATCCATTCAAACTTTTGTTAATTATACTTAAAAATCAACTGTCAGAAAAACAATTAAAGGAAATAAGAATATATAGTAACAGTTTATTTTTGACTAATGAGATTTTAGAGGCCTTTAATTTCCTTTATATATTTCTGTACCTCCCAAATTTTTTATAATGTATATGCTTCCATTTTAGAACCAGATGTCAGGGGTCCAGAGACAGTTCGGCAGTTAAGAGCAGGTCCTGCTCTTACAGAGGACTAAAGTTCCCAGTACCCATGTTGGGTAACTTACTGTCGCCTCTGGCTCCCATGGGCACTTGCGTTCACATGCATATACCCCAATACAAACATATATGCACACACATAATTAAAAAGTAAGTGAAACCCAAGCAGGTTAAGTTTTAAAACATGGTTGACCTCCAGTTTTGAATGTCATTTGTTCATGCATGTAAGAGATGGAAATGAACGTCTCACTGATTGACCTGGCTGTAACCACTGGGAGTAGGGTCTTCCTTCCCACTAAAATTTCCAAGCATTTTCTAATAGCTTATTAGATTTTACACACACAAACACACACATGGGAAAGAAAATGTTTTTCAAATGTTTTAATCATTGTCTTGCTGGCAATGCCTTGCTGTGTATGTGGCTTATGTTAGGACAAGACACTCAGTGTCTGCATCATTGAAAAGAATACTTACCCATCGCAGTGGTTCTGACTATGCAAAAGTACGTTGCTATAAAGCATATCTCCAGTGTTTCTGTTATGTATAGTTTGGTTGCTAAAAAACAGAACAACCTTCTGTCTCTAGTGACGTCCCGGATTGTTTCTGACACAGTGTAAATATGACCACTGAAGTGAATGATTAAGTATCAGCTGGTGAAATAAACATTTCATAAGCATCTTCAGCCTCATTTCACAAATGTGTGTTCAGATAGTGTTAATATTCATTATATATTTATTTTTTATTTATTTATATTTATATTTATATATCGGTCATTTCACCCCAACTTGCTATGTGTTTAGTCAATACTTAATGCCCAGGGTACATGTTGGCATGTGACAGTGCCTGTTGTGTCATGCACGGTAAGTCTGGGTTTCATTTCAGGTGTTTTACCTGTACTGTCACAATGCTTTGTTTTGACCTGGGCCTAGGCTGCCCTGAAGAGAGCCAAGATGGGAGGCCGGGACTGTCCGTAAAGTCCCGATACATATGCTGCCCTGTCATTTGAATAAACCCCAAGATGTGCTTAGATTCGGGTTCTGAATTTGCTTTTGGGAACATCCTCAAGTATTACAGGCTGTGGTTTCCACGTGTCCTCTCTCTTCAACTGCTCCTGAAGGCTTTACAGGAGTGTCTTCCCCTTCGTGGGGCCAGAGCGCCCTTCTTTGTCATTTGGGCGTCATTACAATAGATACCTGCCCCACGTTGCTTATTCTGATGTTGGGTTGTCCCATTCACTGCTTCCGGGGCATCATATCACCTCTTTCTCCTTGCCTCTTACTCTTACTGCCTGGTACTTGATTGTGTCACTCAGGCTGACCCCATCCTCTCTGCTGTCCTCTTGTTCAGCCTCTCCAGTGCTGGGATTATAGGTGTGAGCTATCACGCCTGACCTCATCATTTCTTTTCAACTGGTTCCTTATTCTTTTCTTTCTTTCTTTTTTTTTTTTTTTTTTCTGGTCAAAGCACATAATTGGAGCATAGTAAATCTGTGTACTCACACACCTTATTTCAAGATTGTCTTATTTTAGAGACTTATGCTTTAATCTTATCAGATCAGGAGATTACATGGATTGTAAAGGACTTCCAGGAGTGTGGCAGATACCTAGCAACAGCTGCCACAGATTTGTATCACACAGTCACTAGATTAAAAGGCTCTAGCTTCTTGCATGTACTCAGATGGTAAAATGTCAGTCCTGAGGTGACATGTCAGGTAAGTCTTTTTTTTTTTTTTTCCAGACTGCTTTGCTCATCTGGTCCATCACTGTTTCAGGGTTCATATAAACAATTATATGACTAAAGTACATTAGATAGAAGGAATGAAGCTATGTGCAAAAACCAGTTCTTAATATTATAAGAAATGTATGAGGTTTCCTCAGTGATTTCATGACTTTGCACCTACGCAGACTGAATAACAAGGAAATAAAATTGCGCAGTAAAGACTGGTACCTCAAATGGCTGCTTGGAATAAGATAAAAAGACCAGGCAGAGCTAGTTTCAGACAGTGAACCCATGAACCCAAACTGAACCCATCGAAGGCTCAGGCTTCAGGAGGCAGCATTGGTACAGCCCGTGGCTGTGGGGCAAAAACACGAGTTAAACTTAATGAGCGAGGGAGAGAATTCAAAAGACAAGTCCCTCGCTTCCTCACTGGAGGAACAGGCCAACAAATGGAATGCCAGTTTTTCTCTTATCTCTTAGAGACCATGGGAATAAAATCTGACAGCTTCTCAGAGACTGTCCAGGTAGGAAGAAAAAAAAAAAATGAAAGCGAGCTCTGCATCAAAATAACATAAATCTTTTATTGAAAGTCACTTTTATCGATGTTACAATGAGAGTAACATAGAAAACTCTGTAGTCTTATTAGCTTCAGAAGTGAACACTAATAAAATTGTGCCAGAAATTTAAATCTCGAGTTACAGTGACCTTTTAAAAACAGCAAGATTTACCTACAATATGAGAACAACTTTATAACTTGAACGGCCATAAAACAAATCACGCTTGCTCAGGAAAGCAATCACCATTCCATTTCTGTTGGTGTTTTACCTAAACCCAGTGAGTTTTGAAATAGCCTAAGAACCTGCGTGCGGAGTACCAGAGGGGAGGTTTGAATGATGCAAATCTATGTATATACACACGAGTACCGGGTTACCCAAAGTGAACCACACTGATCCTATTAACACGTCCCCGTGGGGGGTGGCTGCTGTCATCTGCAGGTGGGCCTCGCCCTCCGGAGGCCGTGAACGTGGGAAACACTGGCAGAGACGTAATGGACTGCTTTGGTTTCTGGAAACTGTCTTTTGGAAATGCTAGTCTGGAGGGGCAAATCTCCCAGCAAGTTAGAGATGGGAGAAGAAGAATGCTCTGTTATCCAGAAGGAATGTTTTGCTAAGCACTTTGCAGTTAGTGTTAAAGAAAAAAAAGTTTTCTATTAATAATAATAATAAAAAAAAAAGGTGTTGGGTTATCTGTAGCCATTAAAAAGGCGAGTCATAGAGTTAGAGAATCACAGTTTGATATTGTGCTGGATTAGAAAGGAAAAGTGGGGTTTTCAAATCAGGCAGTGATACACAGGTGTAATTTACCAGGAACCCTTGTGTTACTCCTAAGTGTCTGAATTCGTTTCAGCACTTTCTGTGCTGTGTTATCTGATAAAACTTAGCACCGCTATATTTAAAGATTTGGGACATTTGCAATATTTTAAAACTCAACCATCAAAACAAATCATGTACTGAAATGTCATAAGTTGAATGCAGAGAGCATATACGTGCACCTTCATCCATTTCGGGGAGACCAGCCTTTGTTCACAAATGCAGAAACTGATGCCCTTGTGTACGCTGACAAGGTCGCTTCATCTCTCGGGATGCCCTTTCGTAAAATGAGACAGAATAACGTACATTTTACTTGGATTTGATTCCAGGAGCTGCCTGCGTTCAACACGCCGGCTGCTTCTGCAGACCCTCCCGGTATGATGAGGTCTATGAACAATGCATGGGACACAGCACTGGACAGTAAACTACTTCAAAAGGTAACGTTGCAGAGAGCTGCAAAGCACGTAGCTCTGCCCTGGCGCCAGGTCTCCCCTCCATACCCATGACTGTCTTGAGCTCCTCTGTGTGCTTCATGTGGATGTCTACTGTGCTCGTATGCTGGGACTAACTGGCCCAGGATCTCTCAAAACTCTCGGCCGCTTATTCCCTTCCTGAGATTTATACCCTGAGACCCATCATGACTTTGCAAGGTGCACAATCAAACCAGCACGTCAAAAGGAAATGAAAGATAACCTCTCCCACCCTACGCCTATGGTCTTTCCAATTTTTATTTTAAGACAAAAAAGGCCCTGGCCTGTGTGATAAGGGATGTTTCTAATCGAGAAGAAGAGCACTGCAGATGCTGGGGAAGCAGGAAGGTTTTAAACATAGCCATCAAATCCGTTAAGATCTAAGGCCAAGGATATGAAGGGCAGAGGCACACCTGACGATGGTCTTTACGTTTTGATTTTCTGCTTACTGACTCTAGGAGGCCCATGGTGAAGGACTGCCCAAACCATAACTAAAACAGGAATGGAAATACTACCTTCTGCTCTCCAAGTCTGGGGCAATTTTGTTTTGTGCCTACAGGAGCGGTAGGAAACCTCTTAGAACTGGAAGTGCCTGGCCCACAGAGCATATTGCTATAAGCAAGCGCCAACCGAGACCAGCCAGGACACTTGAGCAACATGCTGCTCACACACAGCCAGATGGGCTGCCACCTCAGCCAATTCTCACAAATGTCAACTGAATTCTTTACAGTACATCAAAGGAGAAGCTGTTTACCCCGATCCCTAGCTCTCTGGCGCCCAGAGGAAAAAAAAAGACCCTGCCTCTGAAATCAGAGTTGTCTTATCAGGAGAAAAATAAGTATTCAAGTCCTTAATTAAGCCCTCTTCCACAGAAATGTCACCTTTTTATACAAAGCTACTGAATGAGAATGAAAAATTCATCTTGGCTTTATATTTCAGGGGGAAAGCAGGAGGCAGTTATAGAAGAAAAAAGTTTTAAAAAAAATAGACAATTAGGAACATAAATAGTGAAAAATGTGCTGCTGACGGGAGTCCAATTGTCTTAGTGCTCAAGCCAGCTTGCCACTGGCCAGACCTTTAGAGAATGCTCCCTGCGTGGCATCCAGCAGCAGCAGCCAGTGGTGCCCCGTGTGGCTGTGTGGACAGGTGTCTTGCTTCTCCTTCCCATCAGTTCCAAACTCCGTTCCCCTCTTCATGTACTACAACCTGCCAAACAGCCTTCTTTTCCTTTACATTTAAGTAAGATAGAAATAATCTTACCTTTAGATAAGGACTTACTATACTGAAATACAAGGGTATATCTAAAGTACTGTAAACCAGTATGACAATAGAAAACTGACAGAGTAAAATGAAGGAATGAACCAACTGGGCTCTGAAATCCTAAAAGAAGCGAGTAGAAATATCACACTCTCCATGGCTCAAAGCTAACAACAACAACAATAAAAAGAACAAAATCTGAAAATGGCAACAGGTAAAGGAGCTACAGAAGGTCTAGAGCAAATGGACAGGATGAAGTCATGCAGATATGCAACAGCAGAAAGGCACGTGGAACTGTCCTGGCATGCAGAGCGGCCCTACCTCCCACCCCCGGGAGGGTGGAGAACAATTTTATCTTCAGGGTGGTTTATTTACACATGCCATCAATCTTTCATCTATAAGCCGACACTGGACTGACCTGTGCAAACACTACTTTAAATCCCTGTGATGAAACAAGAAGGAAAAGAAACCGCATCATGAAAGTAAGCGCCCCCTTCTACCCGCAAAGAAGGCATCTCAAGCCCTGTTTTCTGTCCCAGGCAATGCTTTTGTAGAGTAACTCTAAAGATGGGCAACTCCTCAGTTAGCATCTAAGTAAGCCGCTGGGGCATTCGGTCTTTGTTCTTCAAATCCAGCCCCTGCAGAACACTGAGAATCTTCATGCTGCACCAACTAAGCGGCGCTCATCTCCCCCTTTCTGCAGACTGCACGCGACTGGCAGGTATTTTCTAGCTTGCTGGCTCTGGAGGAGGATTTCCCATCTAAGGAAAGAGGCTGGGGAGAGTAAGCCTGGCCAGTCCATTCCTTAAGGGTTCTGTTACTGCAGGCCTCCCTGGTCACATATGGGAAGACTGAACGCTACTCCTCGTGGGAATGGAAATGACCTGCTGAGTGGAACACCGCACACATCTGGGCTATCTGCAGCCCCACTGATGCCATTATCCGAGAGAGAAATGGCACCGAGTGAAGACATTACTGCCCTTCTCTGTATAATAATGATCCCACAGCAGACTGGGAAGTATGAATATTAGTTGCATGAGTCAAATTACTATGGAGCTTCAAAGTTCCTCTTCAAAATAGACATTTAAAAAAAGGTATAACCAGTGTGCTTGGACTTGATTCCATGAGTCTATTCTGTCTACCTGAAATAATGAAATCAAACAAAGATGATTCTACAACACCAATTTTAAATCCTCCGATACATACTTCTTGAAGCTATCCATCAAGATGAAAAGTTTGTTAATTCCAAAAACAATTCAAAGAATGCTGAAACATGAGAGATAGATACCCAGACTATAACATTAAACCTATTATTTTTCTAAAATCACTCTGCATGTGAAGCAAAACCTTTTCATCCAGTTTCATATGAAGATGATTACAAACCAGAGCAACCGATTCTCCCAAAAGGCACGTGATAATGATTTTCAATACAATGACTCCGGGTAAAAATAATTGAGAAGGTGAGGAAAGACTGGTAGGTAGACAGATAATGAGCTCACTAGCTAGCCATGTGTGAATTCTTTCAAGCTAGGGCTTACGTACATAACTATAACTACAAAGTACATTTACAGGAGGCACCTTCCCTTCAAAGCTATAAACTTCTTCGTAGTCAAAATAAACCTTATATTATATTAGCCTTTTATACACTCAATACCAGCAAACATTCAGTGCACACTTAAAGTGATCTTGTTCAAAAGTCACTTCATTTTCTACATCTTTTCACCTGCCACCAGTCTGCCCTTCTGTCCTTTCCTTAAGCTGGTGGAGACATTGTTTAACACCCATGCCTTTGTCTGAGACCGTTTTACTAAGCCATCAGAAAGCTATATCCTTTCCTGTCATGCTGTTTTTTCACTGTATAATTCTGTGTGATTGAATTGGCTCCCTAACACCTTCCGGTTGTTTCCAAGGAAGTGGACCATTGCAAGAGACACGAACTGAGTATACCGCCGCCTTCAGTCTGGGCATCTAAGACAATTCTCACGGAGATAAAACAAACTGTGTCCCTGGACACTTCTGGACAAAATCAAATGTAGAGTAGATTTCCGAGTTTTTGTCTGATGACTCCATCCCTCACATGAAACACCAAGGAAAAGGGGAAATCAGAAATGTATTTCACAGCAGGCCACACAACTGACCCTATTGATTCTGGATCTCACTAGAGTAGCTTTCTTTTGGAATGATAAAATTGCATTAAAACAGCTGTTAATTTTTCATTTTAAGTGAGATCCAAGATTTCACATAGAGCACTAATTTATTTGCGGATCAAAATGTAAAGGGCTCAAAACTCTTTTCCTCGGTAGGAAAATGGTTACCTCTGCAGTTACTGCATCCACGTAGCCATAGGCTTTATTTAATCTTGTGTGCCCTGTTGAGGCTTCCATTGGCCACCTTGTTCAAACTCAGCCAGAATGACCACTGGGACTTACATTCCAGTGACGAAAATGTGTTAAAGTTGTGAACACAGGTCATTCCCCTCAGAGATAATAGCTGAAAGGATTTTGTCAAGGGACCCAGACCTCAGACCAGGCATTGCCTGGGTGGGAGCTACGCACACTGTGGTCCATGTCTTTGGTGCATCTGGTCAACCTCGGCAAGACATTTTCTGGAGTGAGAGTAGCTGATATGCCCTGGTCCTGGGGACAGCAACTGTGGCAGGCACCATGTGTCTCGGATGTGGAGGACACGCGTTGGCAGATTCCCAGAGAGCCTGTCAGCTCCAGGGTGGCCTGAAGCTACATGGCTACTGCCCATCTGGAGTCCACCATCAGCACGATGCAGAGGCCAGAGGTTTGAGCAGTCTGGTCCCTCACTCAGTAACACCTCCTCTGTACACACTCTAAAGGGAAATCACCCGTTTTAGACAAACACCAGTTATGGAGAGCTCCTTTTACAGCACTGACCACTGCAGCGCATCATCCACTTACACTCTGAAGACTGTAGGATGGAGGACAATGACAGAATTGTGACTGACTGTTTTTAGGCATTTGGCAAAATACACTTATGTGTAACAGTTACCTTTTAAGTTTTAAAAATGTTTACATATGTACAGTTGTCCTTGTATGCTAATATAAATATGAAAAGTAAAAAATAAAAATAAAAATAAAAATACAAGTTTAAAGATAGCACATGGGATATTGGCCTCTCGAAGCTTTACAGCCTGGCAGTCCTGCAGAGAAATCCTATATGCCTTGGCCCAGCATGCTAGTTTCTATTATAGGATGTTGTTTCCTTGCATATGGAAAACAATAAACAGAAGCTTCATGCATGTGGCATTGCTGTTTGCAATGAGGATGTGTTTCAGAATGCCCAGTTCTGAATCCACTTCTGTCCCTCCGGGAAACCTGCTAATCTGGGTCATGTGAGTTAATTTTATTGATATTCTACACATATCTGTCATGCGGATTATCCATGAGCATACCGAAACCAGACCATAAACAGTCCCATGCTGTAGTGTAACACTCCAGTAGTTCTTTCCACCATTTGGTTAAACCTTAAGCCAATGACAGAAAGAGAACAGCAATCCAGGTATGACCCGTGGCTTCCTCTCCTCTGGGGTCTCAGAGGGTCTTCGGTCGTCAGAAGAGCAGATAAGTCTTGCAGTGACTGTGGGTGGCAGGGTGTCTATAAAAGTAAACAGTTTCGATGTGTCGCATGTAAACAGTGTTCTTAAATGGATGTCTCCCATAGCTGCAAACAGAGGAAAGCAAAATCATACAGGGTGAAAGCCAAAAGCAGATTCTTCTGAGCTACGAAGGATTCCAACCATACGTTACTTACCATGGCGCACGCTCACATGGGTGGACACAAGTACACAAACTTTGAGCCCTGTGTGGTGGGGGCATGCTATGGTGTGTGCATACGGCTATGTGAGGAGGCCAGACGAGGACTCCAGGGATCTTATTCTAGTGTTCCCCACTTTACCGCCTTGAGACAGGGAATCTGATTGCCCAGTGACCTCCTGTCCATCTGTCCAGCCCTCATTGCTGACTCTATAGGCACAAGGCACTTATGATCAGCTCTTCGTGTGGAGTTTGGGGATTCAAACTCTGGCCTGCAGGCCTCCACAGCAAATTCCCTGCTCGCTGGGCCATCTTCCAGCTCCCACATCAACTATTCTAACAACAGCCACCTTCTAATGTAAGAAAGGAAGAAAAAAAAAAAAAAACCCCGAACCTCTCGCATCCTCATTTCATGTTACTTAAAATTTTAAATAATCAAAACCTCAAATAACAGAATTTTAAAAATATTATTTTTAAGGTCCCTATTTTGCTTTATTTTACCCGATATACTGTCAGCTGGAATAGCGGTTCTCAACCACAGCAGTGAAAATCTTCTGGGGAAGTGCGTGCGTGCGTGCGTGTGTGTGTGTGTGTGTGTGTGTGTGTGTGTGTGTGTGTGTTTTACATGTGTACATGTTCATGTGTACATATATAGGGTACATGTGCATTTGCACGCCTGTGCACGTGGAGATGAGAGGTCAATGTTAAGTACCTTCCTCCATGATTCTTTATTTCATTTATTAAGATGGAGTCGCTGAACTTGGGGCTCATGGGTTTGGCAGGACTAGCTGGCCAGCAAGCTCCAGGGATCCTCCTGGCCGTGTCTCCTCACTACCAGGGTTACAGGTATGCACCAGCATACCTGGCCTTTTACATGGGTACTGGGGATTTGAACTAATGTCCTCCTGCTTGCACAGTAAACGTGTTATCAGCTGAACCATCTCCTCAGTACTAACCTGCAAAAGTTTTAAAATCCGCTGCTCTGGTATCACACCACACCAACTAAATAAAAATCTTCCTGGGAGGAATGTGGGTTTAAACTATGTTGAAGCTCTTTAGACAGTTCCCAGGTACAGCCAAGGCTAAGACATACGAGTCCATCAATACAAACAGCATCCTCATAAGTGTCACTATGGGACTATGAACAGGCCATGAGCTTTCCAGCTCTATCTCTGACTCCCTGGCCAGATCTACTTTGGGCAATGATTGGCAATTGCCTTCATGGGCTGCAAACAACTTTGGCACACGCAGAGAAACATCTCAGTTTACCAGAGAAATTTAATTTTTAAAGGTCTGCTAATGATCCTTCTGCCAGTCAATATAACTAGTGCTGTGTATTGCCAGCCGATGTGACTGAGATATAAATACTAAACACAAGAACAAAGAAAGTATGATTAGAGTGGATTAGGTTATATTTAACTTCCATCCGAATTCAATTTTAGTAGGATATTCGAGATATTTCATGACATGTAAATTTGGGGGAAAGAAAGAGAAATATCATGATTAATAATTCTTTTCTGTTTTCTTTTATTTTTCTTTGTGAGACAGTCTCATGTAGCCCAGGCTGGCCTCAAACTCACTATGTATCTGAGGCTTGCCTTAGTCTTCTGACATCCTTCTTCTACCTGTCAAGTGCTTTCAGTCAAATGCCACAGTACTCAGTTAAGTGTATCTTTCTAGATAGGTTACTTTAACATGCTTGCTCAAACCTTCATGGAATCCTTGTTCTAACAGAAACCGCAGCACACTGCATAAGGCAAGAAAAAGCCACTGAAACTATCTATCTCAGGCCAAGTGTACATATATTTACTACTAAAAAGATCCACTCTGGGGATGGAGAGATGGGTTAGTGGTTAAGAACAATTGCTACTTTTTTCGGAGGACTCAGGTTCGATTCCCACACCCACATGACAGTTCACAACTGTCTATAGCTCCGGTTCTAGAGGATCCAACCCACTCTTCTAGCCTCTGGAGGTTTAAGGAATACACATGACACGATTCATACATGCGGGCAAAGCACACATACATAGGAAAACAAAGAGTCAGAAGTGTTTTTAAAGAGACATCTTTGTTCTTTGGAACCCAGCGGAAACTCTCAAATCTAAGGATCTAAGTGGAGAGGAAGTAACAGAGTGCTACAGGGTGTCCCAGGCAAAGAAAATCTGAATGCTTGGATGGTGGTCTGGAGTAGCAGAGAGACAGGACTTTGGCCTCAAAGATGTTTCAGGAAAAAAAAAAAGGAAAAAAATTGAAAACAACTAAAATTCACGATTACCCCTGTGGGAAACACATAAAACAGAACTAGGTCATCTGTAGCAAAAGGCCCGATTACCCACACCTGTGTGCCTTTAACAGCGGTCTTGCTGACAGTGGGATCTGCTGCTAATGCAGTTTTCCACAACTCACCAACATAGCAGAATTGTCTGCTGCTTTGTTTTTGACTTAATGACTTTGCTCCCCGAGATCTGCTTGCAGTCTCTTTAGACCAAACTATTATGTACCCCCAATGTTGCTGTGTCACCTTGCCTCCAGGGTTATCCCTGATTGGCTAAATAAAAGGCCTGCACACCTAGGCAGGGCAAAAGAGAGAGAAAGAGAGAGAGGCAGAGGTAGGGTATATGGGCTTGGAGGACAAAAGGATTGCAGGGGGAGAGAGACAGGTCGGGGCGAAAGAGTAGTCACTAAAGGATAGGTTAAGAACCTGGGAAACGGGAGGAGGAAAGGCATGGAGAGAAGCCCAGATCGAAGGCACGTGCAAGTATTTATGAGGATACTGGATGGGAAGGAGCCCAGATAACAATGATGAAAGCAAATGGCATGGGGTGTGGTGCTGGGAAGTAACAGGGTCGATTAGGGGGTAATATCCGCCCAGTCCCAGGTGAAACCGGGCTTATTTAAATACAGCAGGTATCTGTGTCTTTTGTTGATATGGTATTGGGTTAATAATAACGGCCGTCATGATTTTAGGCATTAATAATGAACATTTTAGCCATTTTTTATTTACTACAATACACGCAGGCAATTGCAGGACAAGGGCCACCTGTTCAGCAGGATTCTTCCATATGGTATATGGCTGTCCCACGCAGTAGAGAATGAGTCAGCCCTTCCACGCTGCTAGTCCAGCAGCAGAGCCCTCACCATCACGGTGCTCAGCCTGTGGGAAGAGCATGCGGTGCCCACTCCCCCCGCCCACTCCCCTCACCCCGGGGAACTGCCACATTCATGAGTCCTCACGTGTTGACATCTCTAATAATCTAAACCCTGCCATGGTGACAGCTGAGAGAACACCCTCAGCTGGAAGGAGCAATGATGCAGACAGTTTAGCTGGAAAAGAAATGAAGTGCTCGACTTAGTACTCCAAGGAGGGTCGGGCAACAGCCACCTGGTTACCGCTTACCACAGCACAGACAGCTGGTAAAGGGCATCAATAAACACGTCCTTTACAAAGCCTGAAAACAGAGTGCTGCGTTAGTCTTCAGTTCCAGCTTATGTCATTGCTGGCACTGACATGGAGAGGTAGTTTTCACAATGAACAAAATGTTGTTTCTTATTTGTATAGACTGACGGACTTACTGATTACAGTTATCTGACCAGCTTTTAGTGATCT